ATGTATCTGAAAGAGCGTCAATGCACAGGAAAGTTTATACCCAGGATTAAACTTTGTTGGTCTTAAAAGTGCCACTAGACTCTGACTTTGTTCCACGGAAATAAGCGCACTTCAACTAAAGGAATGGCACACAGGATGACGTTTGAGTCCAGTTGCATCTTAAAGACCAACAAAATTTTCCAGGGACTAAGCTTTCAGAAGTCAGCCACCTCCTGACCTGGATATAAGGGCTGACAGAATAATTGGTTTGAATCCAGACGAGCCTCTTGATATGGGTTTGAATAAAGCAAAGGCCCTGGTATTACAAAGATTGGGTGACACTGAATCTCAAAGCGATGAAGCGATGCTCCCTGTAAACTACAGTAGTTTGGAAACGCAGCCAAATTATACACCAGCTCCATACCTCTCAAATATCACAAGAGAATTCAGAGGTCATTTTGTACAAAAAGAGGTGCTGGAGCTCATTAGCATAACTTATTAGCACAACTTATTTGCATATGCCGCAGCCCCTGACATCACTGGAAGCGCGTCAGAAGGCAACACCCACCGCTCAGGCTCCACTGGACTGTTTTGGATTGCTAGCTACTGGGGGGGGGGGATCGTGCAGATCTGCCCTCACAGAGGAGGGAGCGATTGTACCTGAAGGCAGGCCAGGGGAGAGACTCTGCAAGTTACCTGGCTGCTTCTTGCTCCTCATGGCCCGACTGAGGGCTGCTGGGAGCAGGGGGTGGGCCTTGTTGCATGTGCCCGCCCCCTGGGCTCCTTACTGCCGAAGCTCCGCTCCTGTGCGCTCCCGCAGGAAATGACCCCTGCAAGAGATATAGATGGACCTTTTTGAGAATACACTTCGATGCATTCCCTTCCACAGTACTATTTGGCAGATTTTCTCAGTTGCCACTGCAGAAACGATATTGTCCTAGTTCTGGAAAAGTGATTGAATCTGTTACACATCTTCTCCTGCATTGTGAATTTTATCAAGAAGAAAGATTGCAATTAATTATTCCACTCCTCTCTAAATTCCTGCCACTGAAGTATTATTTGAAGTACTCTGGAAATATCTCTTAGAAGATCCGCAGAAATCTGTAACTTATGCAGCAGCAATTTTTTTTTACTATAGCAATTAGAAAGCGGAAATGTTTGGAAATACCATAATAGTTTTTTTGAGCTCTGAGTTTTATGAATATTAGATGGTTTTAAGAGATGCTTGTGATCTTATGCTGGTTTGTGACCGTAATAAACATTGACTGACTGGCTGATAGATCTTCATTGTATTGTATCTGATGAAGGCGGCGTCATGAAAGCTTATACCCTGGGAAATTTGTCTCTAAGGTGCTCCGGGCCTCATATTTTTTTTCTACTCGACACAGCTACCCACCTGAAACTACCCAAACAGGACTGCACTGCTGGTTTTGCAGTTAAGGATGCAGTTCTCTGCACACTCAGGAGCAAGTCCTGTGGCATTCAGCAAGATTTAAGTAGGTGAAGCGTCAGGTAGAAAAAGCAGGTATAGAGGGAAAGTTGGGTTACTAACCTCCAAGTGCGTTAGGCTTACCAGGTGCCTGTTAATGGTCAGCAAACTCCTGCTGATTGTTGACGATGCCCACTGTCACTCATCTGGTCAGTGGCTGGAAACAGGATGACAAAAAGAAGGGCCATGCTCTTTGTCACCACATGATGATGTCACTTCTGGCATGACCTGGAAGCAGTGGCATTGCACTGGGACAATGCTCTAGCACTTGCCCAGAAACTGCATAGAGTTTTGGGGCACGTGTGTGTGTATGGGGGTAATCCTGGTGCTACACCAGCACTTGCAGGATACACCGGAACTGACATCATTGCTCATCAACAGAGATCACCCCTCCCCCTACAGTAAGTACCTGCCTCCTCCCCCCAAGGGATGCCAACCCCCCCCCCCGGTGGAGGCAGGGGTCCCTCACCTGCCAGCTAATCCACAGTGATGAGGTCAGGCCTGGCAAAAACCCGACATTTCAGCAACATGCCTACATGACTTCAACATGCCCTGGAAATGACGCGGGCATGTTGGGGAGACACTCTGGTTTTCGGGCAAAAACTCTATGGTAGAAACTAATTCTACCATAGAGTTTTTGCCCCAAAACCAGAACGTCACTCTGATGTGCCTATGTCACGTCCGGGTCACACTGGCAGTCACGTGGGCAGATCACTGGAACATGCAAATGTAACCCATGCAGTTTTGTAGCTGTTAACAGCATACAGGGATCAGGCACGCCTGCTTTTGCCAATAGGTGGTGTAGCAATTAACTCCCTTTCCCCCCCCTTCTATACTTAGTTAATGAGCATGCTCAGTGCTTGTAGCCTTTCCTAAAGGAGTCTGGGTATTCCCAGCAGCCAGCCTGGCCCAGAAAGTGGCAACATCTTGGGGAGAGGCCTGTATAGACTTTGCTGTGTTAAGGCCTGCCTTGAATTATTGCAGGTAAATGCTGTTAACCAGTGTAAATATTAGAGATTCTTTCAAACAAAGGTGAAGTTACATCTTGGGGAGTTATTAAATGTTGGTTTGGGACTATTAAGATACTTAATAGTAATTTCATATGATTGTGAAAATATGTAATTTTATAGTTATTGATCCTTTTAAACATCTTCCTTAGTATTCTGTTTGCTAAAGCAGCCAGCAGTTCAGCCTGGCCCAGAAAGAGGCAACATCTCGAGGAGAGGCCTGTATAGACTTTGCTGTGTTAAGGCCTGCCTTGAATTATTGCAGGTAAATCCTGGAGTCAACTGAGAAGAGCTGCAGCATCCCAAGTACAGCCTGGAAACCTCATATGCTGTTCCCGTATCTGTGAGCTTACAACATATGGACCTACAATATTTGTATTATTTATGTGCTTAGCAGGGGTCATTTCCTGCAGGAGCGCACAGGAGCGGAGCTCCGGCAGTAAAGAGCCCAGGGGTTCTCTCCCGTCCTCTCTCTCTCTCTCTCCCCCCTTCCGCTCTCTGCACAGATCTGTGTGAGGGCAGATCTGTGCGTTCCCCCCTAGCTAGCAATCCCAAAAAGTCCAGTGGCACCTTTAAGGCCATGTTTTATTCAGGTACAAGCTCTCCCTCCTCTGTGAGGGCAGATCTGCGCATTCCCCACCATAGCTAGCAATCCAAAACAGTCCAGTGGAGCCTGAGCGGTGGGTGTTGTCTTCTGACACACTTCTGGTGATGTCAAGGGGTGTGGCATATGCAAATCAGTTATGCTAATGAGCTCCTGCACCTCCTTTTCTACGAAGTGACCCCTGGTGCTTAGTATTTTTTTCTGTTCCGTGCATCCTTGTGGATGCTGAAGATATCTGTACTCAGTAATATCCTGAAGATTCATTGCTATGAAGTAATAGCAACCAACCAAAAGTGAATGAGGATTTATATGAAAACCTCCATGCTTTGTTGATATAAAGAGTTTATTTTAAATGTTAAAGTGCATTGGTTGTATTGCCTCTTTTATGTCTGTGTTTAAGTACATGTGTAGTAACAGCAGTTACATATTCTTAATAACCATAGGTGGGAGTTCCGCTGTCAAAACCGACTGAACCTGCCCACTCTCCCTGCAGATATTAGGACCTTAGTGGGTTACACAAAGAAACTCCCAGCTCCCAGTAAGCTCGCCCCTCATCCCCCACCTGGCAACCCCACTCTCCTCCATCTCCCACTAGGTGCCACACTGGAGAGCTCCTGAAAGCACATCTGATCCCCAGGCTACAAAGATCAGTACCTCTGCTGCAAATGGAAACTTCAGAGCGCGGACTCTATGATAAATGGATGTCCTAGAATGCCATTGCAACTTAACTGCGGTCCCTCCCCTTCCCAAACGCCTCCATCCCGACAGCATTCCCAAATCTTCAGGGATTTCCCAAAGTGGAACTGGAAACCTTATGACCAGTGTTCCCTCTAAGCTGAATTAGTGTGAGCTAGCTCACAGTTTTTTAGCCTCCAGCTCACACATTTTTATTTTAGCTCAGGAAGGACGGCTCCAGAGCAAACTAATTTATGCAGTAGACAAATCGCTCGCTCACAACTTTAATGCCAGGAGCTCACAAAGTAGAATCTTTGCTCACAAGACTCCACAGCTTAGAGGGAACATTGCTTAGGACATGTGCAGAAATGCACCTTCCTCCTGCGTTTCTGCCTGCCCAGACTGCTGCAGAGCAAAGCCCAGCAGAGCCAGTCTTTAAGTGGCACTTTAAAAAAGGCCTGAAGCAGCACTATTTCTGTGGGCTTTTGGTTTCATTTTATTACTTTTATTAATGTGGTAATGAGGTGATTGTTTGTGTCTCACCCCCCATTGTATGTGTTTGTTTTTAAATGAGATTTTTGAAAAAGTACTCTGATTCTGACCACAGTTTAAAGGTGAGATATATTTTCCATAAATCAAATAAATTATCTAAATCCAAAAAAAAAACCCCAATTTTTTCCCCCACAAACGTCAGGCAATGAAAAAGACGCACCCCTAAGAGCTCCCGCCCCCCGCCGGGCTCAGCCAATGAAAATCCTGCATACAAATACCATTGGCAACGTCTACTGAAATAAAGTCCAGCCAATGAGGGGAAAAAAACAAGGGGGGAAAAATCACCTCGCAAACAAACAAATCCAAGGCTCAACCATTGGACAATCAGAAGGGAGGAAGACGTCTGATTGGCTCTCAGGAAGCTGGCCCAACCTCTCGTGTTCGTCAATCATTCACACACACACCGCCTCTTCTTTTCCTGACGGTTTCAAAAAGCCTCGAACCGAAGCGATCCCTCTTCAACCAATGAGCGAGCTCTTTCTAGCCCGGCTCCTCTCCGTGTCCAATCAGCGCCCCCTTTCCACAGCCTGAGAACGAGCGGGAGTCGGAGGGAGAGGAGGGAGGGCGCGCCGGGGGGACGCGGCGCTCAATCAGAGGCAGCCTTACATCCTCGTCCGCGGCCGCCGGCCAATCGGAGGAGCCGTTGCACGGCGGCGAGGCCCCGGGACGGGAGGAGGGCGAGGGCGGCCATTTTGAGCCGGGCCCGGAACGGAGGCTCGATGGCCGGGCGGCCGCGACCCGACGGCGGCGACTGAGGCGGGGCGGGAGGGCCATGGATGTGCGGAGGCTGCGCGTCAACGAGTTGAAGGAGGAGCTGGCCCGCCGCGGCCTCGACACGCGCGGGCTGAAGGCCGAGCTGGCCGAGCGGCTGCAGGCGGCGCTGGAAGACGAGCAGGCCCCGGACGGAGCGCTGGATCCGCTGTCGGACGGACGCTGTAGGCTTGGGGAGGGGCGGGGCCTCCGCGGGGTATAAATGCCACAGAGAGCCCCGCCCCGCCAAAGCAGACTTTTCTCTCCCGGGGAGCGGGTCTCTGTCGGCTGGGGGTCAGTTGGGAAAGCGGGAGATCTCCAGGCCCCACCGGGAGGCGGCGGCGACCAATGTTCCCTCTAAGCTGTGGAATCTTGTGAGCAAAAATTCTACTTTGTGAGCTACTGGCATTAATGTTGTGAGCGAGCGATTTGGCTGCTGTATAAATTAGTTTGCTCTGGAGCCCTCCTTCCTGGGCGAAGACAAAAATCTGTGAGCCGGAGGCTAAAAAGCTGTGAGCTAGCTCACACTAACTCAGCTTAGAGGGAACACTGCCGGCGACCCGTGCTTCCTCTAAGTCTTGCGGGCGAAAAAATGTCTCCTTGGTGAGCTCCTGGCATTACAGGTGTGAGAGAGCGGGTTGCCTACTGCAGTGTTCCCTCTAAGCTGAGTGGGTGTGAGCTAGCTCACAGGTTTTTAGCCTGCGGCTCACACATTTTTGTGTTTGCTCAGGAAGGAGCAAACTAATTTATGCATCAGTCAAATCGCCAGCTCACAACTTTAATGCTAGTAGCTCGCAAAGTAGCATTTTTGCTCACAGGACTCCAGAGCTTAGAGGGAGCATTGGCTATTGCATCAGTGGGTTTGTGCTAGAGCCCCTCCTCCCTGACCTAAGGCAAAAATGGGTGAGCCGGAGGCTTAAAAAAACCTGTGAGCTGGCTTACACTCACTCAGCTTAGAGGGAACACGAGTGACCAGTTAACAGAGATCAGTTCCCCCCTGGAGGAAATGGCCGCTCGGGACGCCGACTTCTATGGTGTTACAGGCCCAATGTTCCCTCTAAGCTGTGGAGTCTTGTGAGCAAAAATTCCACTTTGTGAGCGACCGGCATTAAAGTTGTGAGCGAGCGATTTGGCTGCTGCATAAATCAGTTTGCTCTGGAGCCCTCCTTCCTGAGCTGAGACAAAAATGTGTGAGCCGGAGGCTAAAAAACTGTGAGCTAGCTCACACTCACTCAGCTTAGAGGGAACACTGGTTACAGCCCACCGATGCTCCCTCTAAGCTACGGAGTCTTGTGAGCAAGACATTTCTTGTTGGTGAGCTCCTGGCATGAAAGTTGTGAGTCAGCGGTTTGGCCGCTGTATAAATGAGTTGGCTCTGGAGCCATCCTCCCTGAGCTAAGTCGAAAATGGGTGAGCCGGAGGCTAAGAAAACTGTGAGCTGGCTCGCACTCGCTCAGCTTAGAGCAGTGATGGCGAACCTTTTAGAGACCCGAGTGCCCAAACTGCGACCCACAACCCACTTATTGATCGCAAAGTGCCAACACGGCCATTTAACCTGAATACTGAGGTTTTACTTTAGAAGAAACAACTCATTCATTGTAACTTAAGATGATCCAAACAAAGTAAGGGAAGCAATGCCAAATGCTTTCATTTACTTAAAATTATTTGGCAGAGAATCCGGCACTTTAATGATGGTCTGGGCCTGGCTGGGGCGATGGCACGCGTGCCCACAGAGAGGGCTCTGAGTGCCACCTCTGGCAACTTTTATGCATCCATTTCCAAAAGGCTTTTTCAAAGAGAGGGTAGGACGTTGTTCATACATGCAATACTGCCACTCCAGTATAAATATCCAAAATTCTCATTGCACGTCAATGAAGATCACCCCTCCCCCTGCAGTAAGTACCTGCCTCCCCTCCCCCCGCCAATGCCACTTGTGAGAATTTGGGATATTCATACTGGAGTGGCGGTATTGCATGTATGGACGATGTCCTATCCCCTCTTTAAAAAAGCTTTTTGAAAATGGATGTGTAGAGGCCGGCAGGCTCCGTCAGAGGTGGAACGGCAGTGCCCTTTCTACAGTCTCCGTTGCACGCACTTTGAAATTGTGTTGTTTGAAAGACTTACCTGCTGTGCTTTGAAAACAGTTAACTGTTTTTGAAAGACCCAAGTGCTGTATTTTGAAAACAACGAATTGACGACGTTATTCGACACAGGCAATTAATTCCTTTAGATATATTGGATGAAACTGGAAATGGTTACGGACTGAATATATACGTATTAGACTTTGGAATTATTGTATGTATAGAGTACATGGATATTAGTATCTTTTAAAAGTGTTCAATATTTATAACATATTCCTTGTCATTTGCTTCACTTTCCCTCCCCCTTGTATTTAACCTTCAGGTGGGGCCTGGAGATCTCCCACTATTACACTTGATCTCTTTGCAGAGGTCCCTCCCCAGACCCCTGCGCTCTCCAGGCTCCACCCCCAGAATCTCCAGCGATTTCCCAACTCCGAGCTGGTAGCCCTAGATACCATAGAGTCTGCCTTCTGTAGCTGCCATGTCCTCCAGAGAAACTGATCTCTATAGTCTGGAGATTAGTTGTAGAAAATGCCTAGCAGGAACTCATTAGCATAATAGGCCACACCCCTGATTGCACCGCTCATTAGCGTATTAGGCCACACCCCCATGTTACGAGAAGTGTGGTCATCCAGCCACACCCACCTTTTGCTTCTTATTCTGTTTACCTTGTCTGTTGTCCAAACCCAGGGCTTTTTTTGTAGCAGGAACTCCTTTGCATGTTAGGCCACACACCCCTAATGTAGCCAATCCTAATGAGTTTCTGCTGTTGGGTGTGGCCTGTTATGCTAATGAGTCCCTGCTGGGCGTGGCCAACTTGGGAGCCAGCCGGAACTCCGTTCCTCTGTGTTCCTGCCCAAAAATAGCCCTGGTTGTAATTCTGGGGGCGCTCCAGGCCCCACCTCGGGTTTGGCAGCGCAACTCCTGATGCAGCTTTGAGCTGGGCGAGAGCCTACTAGGTCAGTGGTGCTCAGCCTTTTCTACCTTACGTCCCGCTGATCTTCTATCCCAACCATCCCTCTGATTGCTCCTATCAAAGAACCTCAGAAATAGAACTAAAAGACCGCACTTTTCCAAGGAGGACAATTTGTATGTTAATTGGCTTTCAGTTAGTCTACTGATCGTCTATAGTTTGACCATAAACGTAGGCAGTACTGCTGTCAGGAGTAGACTTTATCGCTGTAGCTTTAAACCGCAAACAAGCAAAAATAATAACTCCATTCGCAGTCGAGAAGCGTAAGAACACTGTTAAAAATAAATTTTACTGTCGTGGTAATTATAATATACTAAATAAAATAATTGCAGCAGTTGTATTATTGGGAATGCGGGGGAATGAGCTCTTAGTAATTGTTATGGAAACCCTTGTGTCCCACCAGTGGTACATGTACATGTACCTCTGGTCGAGAACCACCCTGCTAGCTAAATAAATAGTGGAGCCCTCCCCATGGGTTGTGTTGTGTTTCTGTGGGCCCCCTTGATTCAGCTCTGCAGGAGGATTGTGGACCTCTGACACAACTTTGGGAAGATGACAATGGAGTGCTTTCCAGGCCTAGCTTAGCAGTGGGGGTGGTGGGCTTCCAGAGCCTCCCTGTCCTGATACCTGGGTCCTGGTTCTCACGCTTCTTGGGGCTTCTGGAGTTATAGGATGCTTCCATTTGTTCCTAGAGCGTTCCAGGTTCGGAAAGGCTAGTCCTTGCTTCATTTTCCTCTACTTAACACCAGGTGGTTAGAGGAAATAGTTAACTGAGGTTCATAAGAGCTGAGGTTCCTAGAGCGTTCCAGGTTCGGAAAGGCTAGTCCTTGCTTCATTTTCCTCTACTTAACACCAGGTGGTTAGAGGAGGAGGAGGAGGAGATTGGATTTATACCCCACCCTTCACTTGGAGTCTCAGAGCGGCTTACAAACACCTTTCCCTTCCCCTCCCCACAACAGACACCCTGTGAGGTGGGTGGGGCTGAGAGAACTCGAACACAAACTGCTCTTTTTCAAGGACAGCTGTGCCAGAGCTTGTGACTGACCCAAGGTCACACCAGCAGCTGCAAGTGGAGCAGTGGGGAATCAAACCCGGTTCTCCCAGATTAGAGTCCACACACGTAAACACTACACCAAATCACTACACCACACACTTAACCACTACACCAAATAGTTAACTGAGGTTCATAAGATAACATACGGGCAGCGCTTTGCAGGGCTTGTGGCGCCCTAGATGAGTGTGCAGTATTCTTGTCGCTCTCCATAGCAGGATGCCGGTCAGGAATGTGGCTTGACCGAGGATGATACTAAGGGGAAAGGGTTTCCAAGGTGACCTCTCTGCAGATACCCTTCGCCAGGCATACTTCATACACTGGCTTATAAAACCTGTGGCGTCTGCTAGAAGTTTTCCGGCAGTGGAATCCCACATAAATGCCAGGTGGCTCCGTATTTGCCAGCCGGAAGGCTTTACGTCTTCCCTCCGGGCAGCACTCCCGTTGCATGACAGAGAAATATTCCCTTCCCACTCTCATTCCCTAGATAGCACAGCTGTTGTGGGAGTGTTGGGGGGAGCTGGTTGCACAAATATCCTGAGCACCTCCTGAGTACTGACTGCAGCATGAGCATAGGCAAGCGATCCCATGTTGTCTGGGGTAAAGAAAGCTTTGCTTGAGATTTTGGGAGACTTTGGATTTCTGCAGTCTCAAGCACACGGGCTGAGGTCTCTGTGCATCATGGTAGCGGTGGGCAGATTTCCCAGTTTCCAGTGGGGGACACTTAGCGCTTGTTGGTCGCCGAGGTTCTGGTACAGGGCACTGGGCTGATCCGGCATTTTGACTTTCCGTGGTCTTAAGCATGAGCACATACTTAGGAAAGCTGGAGATCAGTCAGGTGGGGTAGCCCTGTTGGTCCGGAACCGCAGAACAAAGTTTGAGTCCAGTGGGGCACCTTTAAGACCAACAAAGTTTAATTCCAGGTATAAGCTTTCGTCTGCACGTGCCACGGCCGCGTGTAAAAAGTACTTCTTTGCCCACCACTAGTCTAGGTTCTGTTTTACAGATGAGGGCAGTGGCTCAACATTGTGCCACGGTCCCGTGTGGGCACCACACATCTCACAAAGGGACTAGAGTGTCAGAAGAGTTGAGATCTAGAGATTGCCGTGAGTCAGAAGGAAGATGCGCTGCCTTTGGAATGAGGCGAGGAGCGACCCCTTTGGGGAAGGAGGCTACGGAATGTAGAAAGGATTAATGTGCTTTGGAGGTGGGGGAGTTGCGTCCCTGCCATTCCGTTGCTATGGACACGCAGGAGAGGGGCTGTTTTTGCAAGAACTTGTATAGCTTCAGTATCCCGGGCCCATTTCAGACAGGCGGTATAATCAGATGGTAAAGCTCTTTGGGGAGTATGCTAATTCAGGCAGGTTTCCGGGCCTGCGATTTTTGCCTCCTCTGTGCTTCCTTCGGAGAGGGTTGAAATAAACCTGACCTGCTAATATGAGATCCGGATATAAAACAGTTTCAAGCCATTGTTCTGCAGTAGAACGGCTTGGTTTAAGTCCCGCAACACCTTCGAGACAGACAAGATTTTGGGAGTCGATAGCCGATAGTCATAGCCGATAAAGGGAGTCTTGTCTCGACTCTCGAAAACTTATACCCCGAAAATCTTGTCTGTCTCAAAGGTGTGATCAGACTCAAACCTAGCATATGTAAAACAGCATCTGTCGAAAGGCGGGGAGAAAATACGAGCACTCTTTGAAGCGCCATATTTTGCAGCCTCGGACGTCGATATAAAAACCTGGATCTGATGCCGACTACAGAAACAGAGATAACTGGTACAATCGCCTGGAATTTCACTGTAAAAGTCGCACTGGACTGGTGAAAGAATATTATTAATCCAGCAGAGAAAAAGAGCCTGCTGTGTTGAAGGCAGCACGGAGTCATTCTAAGCCTCTGTGTATATAGTGACATTGTGGAGGGGTGGTGAAGGAGATATATGTATATATTTCCCCCCACCCACCCATGTTCTGAAGCAATACTGTCTAGGAAAAGCTTTGCCCGTTTAATTCCTGGTGAGAGCCCTTTCCAGGTTAGACTTCAGGTCGAGTACGAACGGAGCATTATAGTACTGTTAATCTGCGTTCTCGCATTTTCCGTTTCAAGATGGCATCCACGGCGGGATGCATCAGGACAGCATGCAAGGATATCACCAGCCTTACGAGCACTGCAACATTAAACAGGAGAATGAAGCTGGGTACGAGAGAAGGCCTCTAGACTACGATCGCCCTAGCTTGCGTCCAGGTAAGACCGAGTGTTTTAAGAATTGCTCTCTCTTTTTTTTTTTTACATGGACAGGCGCTGTAGATATTTCTGCATTTGGTCTGACCGAGGCGCGCTCTCTAACTCCAGAGAGAGACTTTGGGAGAAAACCAGGTTGTAAATATTTAAAATTTCCTCCGCCGGATCAATAAATAGCCCCCCAAAGAAAGCAGTACTCTTTTTTTTAACTGCAAAACAGCTGTAGAGACGGTGCATGTGAGTGGGAGGAGGCCACCAGCCCTGTAGGCTGTATACGCTCATGCGCACTTTCCCCCACAGGGGTGTTGGTAGCGTCTCTCTGCCGTCATAAATTGCCCTTCATCCACCCCCTTTTAACGTGGGCCTAGCCAGCCACTGTTAGTACTTATCAATGCTCCCTCTAAACTGTGGAGTCCTGTGAGCAAAAATTCCACTTTGTGAGCGACTGGCATTAAAGTTGTGAACAAGCGATTTGGCTGCTGCATAAATTAGTTTGCTCTGGAGCCATCCTTCCTGAGCTAAGACAAACGTGTGAGCTAGAGGCTAAAAAACTGTGAGGTAGCTCACACTAACTCAGCTTAGAGGGAACACTGGCACTTATGGGTTGTTGTTTTTTTTTTAAGCTTTTTGCTCCTGTGGGAGAAAACAATGTGTGTGTTTAGAGATACAGTTTTGAGCAGGGGTGTACCTAGTGTTCCCTCTAAGCTGAGTTAGTGTGAGCTAGCTCACAGTTTTTAAGTCTCTGGCTCACACATTTTTGTCTTCGCTCAGGAAGGATGGCTCCAGAACGCACCAATTTATGCAGTAGCCAAATCATCTGCTCACAACTTTAATGCCAGTAGCTCACAAAGTAGAATTTTTTGCTCAAAGGACTCCGTAGCTTAGAGGGAACATTGGTACCTACCTGTGCTAAATCCAGTGTCTAGGTCAAGGATCGCCGACATGGTGCCCGTGGATGCCACGGCGCCTTGCTGACCCGTTTCCTGGCGCATGAGATGGGCCAGGTGTGGCTTTTGCTCCGATTGGCCGTGCAGAGCGTAAAAAAAAAAAAAGGCTGAGTTAGACTCCACCGCTTAGAGGGAGCATCGGTCACGGAGCACACTTTGCCCTTTTCCAGGCACACCCTGCATTTCCAGCCCACTTCTGTCCCACAGAATTCGGCAGGAATTGAACCGGGTCTGATGTACCTGGCCCCCCAGTTCCCTTGCCCGCATAGCCTGCTCTTGGGCTTTGCAGACCGCGATTGAATTGGAGCCATTAGGAGAGGGTACGGCACAGCAAACGGACATTAAATAGGTAGTCCCATTGACGGGGACCGCATTTACTTTGGATGCTGTCCGTGATCACTACCGGACGCCTTCGCATGCCGGATTGGAGCCAAGCTGTTTGGCACACAGGGCCCCCAGCGGGCCCATCTCTCAGGATCCCGTCAGCAGGTCCTTCGCCGTGTGTCTCCGGAGCGGTTGTTTTCTCCTTCACCGAAATGCGCTGTTTGTTCTCCGGTGCTTAAATGCAGACATGAAGCTGGAAGTGAAGGCAGAGGAGACGGGCCTGGGCTACCACACGGGAGCCTCCGGTCACAACGCCCCTTCGGGGTACGGCCCGTCGGGCCAGAACTACAACACTTCCGGCTACGGCGGCTCCGGTTCGAGTTACGGCGCGCCTCCCTCCGGCTTTGGCTCCTCCGACTCATCTCAGTCCTGGCAGCAGCAACCGCAGCAAGGCCGGAAGAGGCCATTCGAGGAGACGAGGGGGCGCGGCTACTATGAACACAGAGAGGATAAAAGGTGCGTTCAGGCAAGTCTTTGGAGGAACGTCGGCAGTCGCCGCTTCTCCCACCTCGGCCGCTTCTTTTTATCGGTTGGTAGGTGGGGAGGGTTTAGGAGAAACTGAGAGTGGTGCCTCGGAACCACTCGAAGCAGAGAGAGGGTGGCGTCTTTCAGAATCGCGGAGTTGGAAGGGAGCTCCAGGGTCCTGTAGTCCAGGGGCGGCCAAACTGTGGCTCGGGAGCCACATGCGGCTCTTTCATCAAGTGGATGAACGGGGCATGCATTTGCGTTCTCTCTCTTCCAGGGGCCGATCTCCTCAGCCGCCCGCCGAGGATGACGAGGAAGACTTTGACGACGCGCTGGTGGCCATCGACACCTGTGAGTCTTGGGACCGGCAGCCGTGTGCTGTCCCTGTTCTTGTTCTCTTTGTAGTTCGTGCTGAAAGGAGGCACCTGATTGAATCTCTGTAATGATTTCATGTTTTGGTGTGTGTGTGTGTTTTTTAAAAAAATGTTTAGTCTGACTGCAGTACTGTAATAATGAATTCATGTTTTGGTGTGTGTATTTTTTAAAAAAATGTTAAGTCTGACTGCAGTACTGTAAGAAGAGTGATAGAGGGAGACAAGTGTGATGTGATTGGCTGATGACTGAGAGTGTGGGAGGAGGGGTGTCTATGAGAGTGATTCTGTGTGTGAAGTTTGAAGAGACAGCATAGTCTGTGATTATGGGAGTTTTTGAGTATTCTGTGTGAATAAAACAGTTTAGTCTGTGTGAATATGGGTTTTGAGTCTGTTCTATGTGAATAAGACAAGAGTTCAGCCTGTGTGGCTATATAGATGAGAGAGAGATAAGACTGAGTGTCTGTGGAGTTTGGGGAGTTTGAGAGACTGTGACACCAAGCTTTGCCAGTTAAATTTACAAGTCCCTTTCATCAGCAGCAGTTCAAAATAACCAGAAACCTATTTTGTTCTTTATTAAATAAATCATTATTTGTTTAAACTTATCCCAGCAATCAGAATAGTCCTTCCTCAGGGCCACATAGTCCTCTGAAGTGCCCAGACCCTCGGTCATTCTACCAAAAGAGAGAGATTTCGAATTTTTAATTCCTGGTGGCAGCAGAAATCTACCAAGCTTAGGTACACAGAGAGTGTTTTTAAAGATAAAAACAGTCCCCCCAATAAGCGAGGATGCCACAGTCTCCCTTCATGCCCCACTGCATCTTGATGTCGGGGCGCTGCTCTCATAGGGTGTGACAAGGCGGTAGCTGCAGGGGG